TGAGATGAAGATAGGTTTACTATTAGCCATTCTTAGGACTGAACATAGGTGTGTAGTCCGGGATGTAGCCAGAAGAAGGCTACACAAATTGTGAGACAGCTTCCTCTGTCTTGTTTTACCTGCTTTAAACCAGAATGTTGGAAACCCAAAATCCAGACCATTTAACCAACATATTTTTCTCCTTCCATCCTGGCAAGGACATCCAATTTATATTTCTTCAGGGTGCCCACTTGCTGAGGCTGCATTAAACCTACAGCTGAGTTTGGAGAAAGGTCAGCATGATACATTGGTATTGTAAGTGCACAAGAGCTGCTGTGGCTCCCTGAATTGTTATCAGTGGGTGGAGACCCTCCTTCTGGCTCAGTTGATAGGAACTGGTGTTTGGGGGTTCAGAAGGCTTCTGGGTTTGGCTGTGTAAGTTACATTGCTGTTGTGCTCAGTGGAAAGGGTCAAATAACTTAAAGTGCAGAATATGGCGGGTTGAGGTAAATGAGAGGATTGGAGAGGGGTATTGGCTTCTACGTTTGTGAACTGTGAAGGGAGAGGGGTCATACAAGAGTAACCAAGGAATGGTGGTAAAAGGGAAAGTGAACTGGCAAGGTGGAGGGCCCTGCAGGAAAGCAGATGTGAGCTGAAGCAGCTGCTGAAGGAAGAAGGCAGTTCTGTCACTCACAGTAGGGAGCAAATTCAAGGGAAGATAGAAAAAGAAAGGAAAGTTGGGAGTGGGATTCAGGTAATTATAAGCAAGTACATCCAAAGTCTAGATAAATGTGTTATTGTAGGAATGGGTAGGAGTTTTCCTGTTTTTCAGTCATTTCCCTGCCTTCCCTTTAGTTTTCCTAGAGCCAGGCTCCCATAGGGACTTCAGAGCAGCAGCTGGCAGTGAGTGGCTCAGGAGAAGTTACAAGTTGCACTTGTAATTTTTTTTCCTATCTCGATTTTTTTTTTTTCTAAGTGCCTGCCAGGTGGCTGTAGTTGAGCAGGATGATTTTGCAAGGCAGGATTCCCATTATGTTACAGAAAGACTGATCTGCTAAAGTAGAGTGACACTTGCTTTAACTGATGATAATTGTATGGTCCGTGCTGGCAGGTGTTGCATTTGTCTTGACCTTTCATTCAAGTGCAAGAACGCTTTTGCCAGTGTGAAGGAGAGCTTGTTTGGAGCTGTAATTACTAGACTGGAGTATGTCTTACTGTGCAATGGGAACATACTAGAAAAAGTCTCTGAAGACCTTTATTTATTGTGTAGTGATAGTACCATAACAGAAGCTTAGCCTTTCCACTCCCATGTCTGTGTTAATTTGTGAATAATTGGTAAAAGATCCCAGGATGAATGTACCGGTGACAGGTAAATGTGAAAAGTGAGCTGTTGTTTGTTTGCCTTTAAAATAATTTTTATCTATGTAACGTTTCTGTTCCTTACTTAATAATTGTGCCTACCATTAAAATCTACCTATTCCAGGAGCTCTTTCCATGGCTTTACAGCTCTTTTCTATCTTAATGACTGGAAAACATACGGCATGCTTAATATATCGCAGCATGGGAAACACCAGCAAGCACAGGCTCTATTTTATGGCTTCCACAGTGCTTCTTCCTGAAGGGTAGATGTTTATTATTTTATTTGCAAAACAGAATTAAACAACACAGCTAGACTTCATGAACAGTATTACTTAGAGGTGTTTATGTTGCTGTTTAATTTTTTTTTTTTTTTTTGGTCCTTTGCAGAAGCTGTCAAGAGAACACTGTATGTTCCTTCAGCAGGGGTAGTACTTGCATTGTCATAGTGAACTGGAAATTGCTGTTGCACAGCAAAACTCAGTTGTTTTTCTGTTTTCAGTCCAGCACATTTTAAAGTCTGTGTGTATGTAAACTGTGAGACCTGGGGCAACTCTTCCAAAATATGTCCCTGATTAGAAGGCAGGCTAAGACAGGGTCAGTTGGTGTCCAAGGGTTGAAGTAGTTTTATCTGGGTGATGGGGCTGCTTGGTGTTTGACAGGCAAACCAGACTGGAAAATGTGTGTTTATTTGCAAGTCTGTGTTGGAACTGATAGTGGCTACTGGGTCAGTTGCCACTCCTTGAAAATATGGCTGTTGATGCCTCTTCTGCTAGTCAGTGTAAGTAGTACAGATTTAGGCCAACCTGGGCTAAAACTGTAGTGAATTTCCTGTTGACTTTATGGATGTAGCAGCTTTATGTGGCAGAGCAACTGAGATGTGAAAGAGTACTCAGGTGTCTAGGAGTTCTTTGGAAATATCAATGATACTTCAATATATGTGCGCATGCACTCTGTAACCCTTAAGGGAATATTTTTCAAGGCTGCTTTTCTTTGTTTGAAAATGATCACTCTTTCAAATAACAAAACCAACTGTTCATAGTCATCTACTGGCTGAAGCCTCTGACTAGGTATGTTTCCAACAGTGGATCAGTAAAGATAATATAAACATCTGTCACTTAGAGGCTGCTGGCACCCATCAAATAAAATCAGTTCTAGGAACAGAACACAACTAGTTTCTGATGTGCAGCTAAGAGTGTGTTTGTCCTGCATCATTTACCGTGTTGTACACATACAGGTCTTGTCCTTCAGCCTGCCTACGCTTACTGAATTTTAGCACATCCTTTTCAACACAGGTGCCTATGTAAATTCAGTCATGCTCCCTTGCAGGCATCTTCTTCAGCTAGACAGCAGTATTTGAGGAACACTGAGTTAATGTGAAGAAACCTCTTCTCTGTTTAATTTTGTCTTTAGGAATTTCACCCAGAAGTCTGACATCTAGGGCTGGATTTGAAACTGTCACCTGTGTGAAGTTATATGTGTTGCTTCAGGCAGACTTCCTGGCCACAGGTCCCTCTCTTCACCACCATTTTTCCTAATCCCACATAGCCTTGCTTTGTTTACCTCCTCCACATCCCTGGAAGGCGAAGCATAGCCTGCTTCCCCACACACCTCACACATACGCAATGACAAGTCTTTCTGCTTGTCAGCTTGCGTTGGTCTCTTTTCGTCATAGCTTGAGAACATCTCCCTGCCCCCTTTTCTTCTTCCGTCTTCCGTCTTCTATAGCTTCAATGAACTTTCCTGTTGCTATAGTTACACTGCCTTTGATGAAATCCACTAGGTCTTTCCCTTAAAATTGGAGTCAATTCTTATGCATCCTGGTTCTGACATTAGTCCAGTGTGACTCTCCACATAACCATTATATCCATGTTTCTGGGAGTTTTATGTGTTTGTTTCTGTTCCAGGAATACTGTTAGCTATGTAACAAAAGCCCATGGTCATCTCAAAAGTAAAACTCAGCCTTGCAATATGCAAATCTGGTATTCAAGTCAATGGTAATTTAGACCACAGCTATGCTAGACCTTAAACTGATCCTTGCTGATTTTTAATTTGGCCGTCAGTCAAAATTGAGAGGGGTTCCTTGGTTGCTACTCCTCTCTCCTTCTGAAAGACTATTTTACTGTTTTCTAGGTACTCAAACTCCTACATACAGAGGACTTCAGAACAAGGCATTTGCTTCTTCATGTTTTAAGGGAGGAAGTGCAGTTTACATCCATCAATTTAGGCAGTGCCCAGGACTGTGGTGAGAGGCAACTGGTGTTGTAAGGAAGGGACTGCCTGCTTGTGTAGGCACATGCTGAAGGGTTTTTCCTTGCCTTCTCTTTTCTCAGCACAAAGCTTTGAAGTTCTGGAGATGTGCTGTAGGAAGAAATGTCTGGGAGCGTGGGGGTCTCAAAGTGTGAGTGTAGCATCTGACTGGGTACCCAGCAACCAGGGCTAACTTGATGTGGGCTTTAGTCCCTGAAGGTCGCTTGAATTGTAACAAACTGCAGGCAGAAGGTATGAAACCACTGTGTGATGCCCAGGCTGATCTAGGAGTAACTGCAGCTGACTGGGGTTTTTATGTCCCCGTTTGTTACCTATGCAGGGCTTCCGATCTCAAGCTCTGTCTGATCAGTCAGTGCCAATGAGAACTGAGAAAGAGTGCTGTTGAAGTGTCTCTGTTAGGTTAAATTATCTTCAGGAATAAATGTGAGTTTCGTTCCCAGATGAAAGGATGCATTTCTAGAAACTCTAATCCAGCATAGAGTCCTTAGAAGAAAGTAGTGAATTTGCCCTGTTTTTCAGGGGTTTAAATCTCAAACCAATTTGCATCCCAGCTTCACAGACTTAAAGAAATATAGATACTGTTCTGTAACCAACCATTATGGCTTTCATTGTTTGTAATATTTGTTTAGAAGAAAGTATTTCTTGTTGGATTTTATTTGGAAAAGCTTTTGCAAAGTAATTTCAAGGCTCTTACCAGTGAAGCTGTCACTTATGGTAAACTGATGTTCATAAACCAGGAACCCTTAAAGGATGAAATAGCTTGATGAAACCTACTGTTTATTTTGGTAAGAGATAAGATTGTCATACTTACCAGTCAGGGTCTGTGCACTGAGAAGTAAGAGATATATTTGTCGCTGATTTCAGTTTTGAGAATTGCAGCTTCTGCATTTCCATCTTGTGTGACATTTCCAGTTTAATTCTGAGTTCTGTGCTAAATAGGAAGTTCCTCTGTAATTCTGCTTCATCTCCTGAAATGACATGTATGTGGTTATTCAGAATTGTTTCTGGACATCACTGTGATACCTTTTCTTTAAGCAAGAGCTTTCAGTTTTAGTGGCTGGTTGTTTGCCTTTGGATGTAGATGAGGCAGGGCTGAGAAATAGGCTTTCCAAAATAGATGCCATCTGAGGAAAGGGCTTTGCAGTATTCATAGAAAGAAGAAATCATTGTTCTAGTATTTCTCAGTTTGTACTTATTTTGCCAATGTGATCTTCTGCAAGGTAATATCTTGTTAACCAAACAAAGCAAATTAGTGACTGGTAAATCAGGCTGATGTCAGTAGGAGGAACACCCTTAAAAGCCACAGCTGTAAGACTTTCTCCTTGGAATTTGGTTTCTAATACCAGCTTTAAAATGTTCTTGTAACTGATTTGTTCCTGTTCTTCCTTTTTCAGAATGAGAAGGCTTTGGGGCATTCTGTGAGCCGCTCTAGTAACATCTCAAAGGTATGTTCCTCGATATAACTCAGTCTTTGATAAACTTGGGGATACTGGGATTTCTTTAATTTCAAAATGAGGGTCATATACGTGACCATGTGACCAGTAGAAAATGCTTCTTATGCCTGTCTGTCACTGATAGTCACTCTGAAACATTAGACCTCTGGTGTTTTGCATACTCTCTTTACAGGTCAAATGCAATGGAAGCTATGGTAGGTTTTCTCTTTCACACTGTCAGCCTCCTTAGTTTGGTAGGAGCAAGACAGATGACAGATGCCTGAGATGTTATCTTGGAGGGGGAAGTCGCTCCAAAAACATCACTCAAGTATGTTCTTTTATACCATAGGCTATCTGATGTAATGTTCTCTGGAAGATTTGTACACCCATGTATTCCATAATATGTATTGGATATTATTTTATTATCACTTCAACACTGAATTATTGTTAGTGCCATAAAATGCATTGTTATCAGGGCATGACTATGTAAGTATTTTAAAATTTTTTGCTGTTACAGGCCCTAATAATGTTAGGGAAGCATGATGCTCTATCTATTCTAGTCACACTGCAGTAGAGCAAATGGGCACATCGAAAGCACAGTTGCTTCGTTATGCCATTAGGAAAACAGTGTCTTCTGTCCAAAACAACTTATTACAATACATACCCTACTCTGACTTTTGCATTACAAATAAGATGATTTTTAATTAGCTGGAAGCCTGACACCTTTTTGCTTACACAAATAGAGTTGCTTAAAGCCTTCATACAAGCAAGGCTGTACTGGTTGACCAGTATTTTTCACGGGGTGCATAAATCTCAACCCTTCATTGTCACAGTTGATGTTGCTTGTAATAGCAACTTTTAATGAGAGACTGAATCATTATGGCTGTGACAAGCTAAAGTCCCTTTTTTCTATTCTGGGTACTTCAGGATGTAGGAAACTATTCATGTCTATGTCCAGCAGAGGAAAGAGTGGCTGCGCTTAATTTATGGTTTATATGGGCACAGACAGCTTTCATTTTGGAGCAAAAAGACAAGATCATTGGGTCTATTAAATAATGGGCAGGCAACTGTCCAGTGCACAAGGTATTGACCAAGCCGAAGGTGGTGTTATCATGGAGTGATGCGGGGTTGTGTTTTGCATTCAGCATCAGAAAATATGCACTTATAGAAAAGGTTTGGAAATAGGAACCATGTAGGTGTAACTTTCACCTGTGCTTTTCTAAAATGGGACTGTGTCTGTTCCTTCTTACCCTGGCTCTTCTCTTAGGGATCCTTAATTGGATTTTCAGGTGTTGTTCAAAGTGTCATTGTACCAGAGAGTCTGAAACTCAGCACAACAAGCCTTTTGGCAGCAGCAGTTTGGTATCGATACAAAGCTACACAGTTCATTCTTAATTTATCGAGGTGGTGTGACAGTGCAGTAGGAAGGACCTTGCACTCTGGCAAAGCTCTCCCTGGCAGCACTGTCAAGCGAGACATCAATATTTGCATTCATCTTGAAACACTGAAACATTCAACATGATTGTTGTGTGTTGCAAAAGCTAAAGTTCTCAAGGAGAGCAAAAGTCAGCTTTGCCAGTTAAATGGGTAAGACTTTTTAGTTGCAAACATATGTTTCCCAAAGGTACTGATGTTCTTACTGCTCTGCTGTCACCTCTGCCTCTGATCCATTCTGTGCACTTATTCCACTCTGGAGATAGCTTTTAACAAGGGCAGGAGGTGGAAGTCCCATCAGCAAAATCAGTCCCCTGATTTGCTTTGTACATCCAAACGCTGCCTTCCACATCTGAGCAGTTCTGTGCTAAACTGCAGCAATTTATTTTGCAGTCCACAGGTGGGTTGGCTGTTGCAAGCAATTTGTAGGACAAACTAGGAAAGATTATAGTAGTGGGATACTGTGTGGAAGCTTAAGTATGTGGAAAATTTTTCATTAGTTCTGAGGCTTAATAGGAAAGCGCCTTTTATTTTTGTTTAGAATAGTGTAACAACCTGGCCAATAAGGCAGATTGAATACATGTAAAGGAAAAAGTATGGAAATGCTGGGCTGCCTGTATAGCTCTTTCTGGAATCCTCAGAGCTTGTTGATACTACACCATTTTTAGAGGAGCTATTTAACCAAAGTTGAGTTTAGTCAATTATCAATTGCATTTCCAGATATGTTGATATGTGTGTGTGTGTGTGCGTGCAGAAATAACGATCACGCTTCCTACAAATGCCTGTTTCAGCTATCATTTTTCCGCCCAAATCTAGCTTACAGCGTAGCAATGTAGCAAATCTGCTACTAATGCTTGGCACTGACACTTGATTCAAAGCTTTTCTGGTGCTGATATGTCATTATGAACCTGCTGTGATTATTACTGTGTATCTTCCCACTGCTCTCCGTTGCACAGTGTGATACGAGTGGAAAGGATTGAGTCAGAACTCAGCCTCTAGCCAAGAGAGGATGCTGTGTTACTCAGAGTGACCGAGGAAAGCAATGCCATAGGGCTAAAAGTGATCAAGGGAGGAAGGCAGACAGATGGTGCCACTGAAAATGAGATTAGCTGGTAGAGGTAGCAAGATCTCTTTGAACATAGACCCCAAGTGATGGGACCGGGTGGAGCTGTCTCTTGGTAGAAAGGGGCAAAAAGTCAGTTTTCCAAGAGACAGATGCTATGAGAGGCAAAAGAGATTCTAGTACATGTGGCCAGGCCAAGAAAAAACAGTCACCTGAATACTTGGCTGGAGATGGAGGCCAGAAGCAGCAAAAAAGGAGTATGGAATAAGATGTAGGAGGATCTTCACATGGTGCCATTACATTTTGTGCAGTCTGTTACACGCTGGGGGATGTGGCATTCTTCCAGACCCTTCTTTGATTTTTTTGGTGTGTGTATTTCACACTCCTTTTAAATCTGCTCCACATGAAATGTTTGAATTTCTGGAATCTTTTTTATGTTTGTTTTGAAATTTAGAAAAAAATAGTGTTGAAGGCAGGTTGAATTGATTTAGTCATGGGACTTGGATGTGGCTCGATTCCCACTGTGCCCTGTTCAAGCACAGTGATGCTGATTAAAACACCCCCGTTTGGCACAGGGGTGTACAGCCCAGATCCACACCTCAACTGTTTACCCTAAGCCAGCATTTTTGCCAGGAAGCCACAGTTCACTGGTAAGTGCTTTCATTATACGACGCACACAGGGAAATAATTAAGCTTTATAGAAGCTTCATCCTCTAAATATAGATGAAATTGACCCTAAAACGAAGCTAGTCACTGAGAGCAGCTAAAAAAGAGATTTTCACAGTGGTAGTAATTCATGCCCTCTGCTCTTAGATAAAGGAATTGTGCTTACAAGCAGATTAAACAAGGTCACTAACAAAGCTGGTCCTCAAATTAGTTATACTATTATACTATACTATACAACAGTTATCCTCAAATTAGCTATACTGTTTAGCTTTAAAGTGTCTGATATATCCTGAAATTGATGATGTGATGTATGGAAATATCTTCAGGTCATCTGTGTGCTGTTATTCTGTCATCTGATTGCTCTGGAGGGCTTGTTTAGCGTAGTGGGGAAGCACTTTGTAGTCTTATTTTTGTGGCCCTCTAAGGGATAAACTTTGAACATGCTAATACTGGGATCACAACAAAGGAATCAAAGTGCACGCCTTAAAAAATGTAAATGCTTTGTCTTTTCCAAAGGCCTGTATAGTTTTATCTTTTGAGCAGATGCACACTGTAAAGTATTAAATTATTCTTGGGCTGAATGGCAGCCAGTGCAGACGCAAAGTGGTAGCCTAAGCTTGCTATGAAATTTGAAATCCATTTAGGCTGTTCATCAGCTTGGAACAGATTTAGAAAAGCATATAAATACAGACGTCCACCGTTGCCTGAAGCTTTGATGGATTCAGTAAGCGTTCGTCCATAGAAAAGCAGTCCAGGTTTTTCAGTCACAGAGCTTAGCTCTCCGGTAGTCTATCAGGTGACCAAGGTTTACTGGAAAGAACTGCTGCTCGGAGGTGATCTGTTCAGGTACATGATCCTGGGGGTTAAAAAAATAAATTAAAAAAAAAAAAAATCCTTCTACTGAGCTACCAGCGAAAGTAGAAGACAGGAAAAATTGTAGAGTGTGAGGATTAAGGGATGCTCTTTTCCCCACCCACAAGAGCAAGAAATCTCATGCTGGGGCACGGTGCAGTCGTGTTCATAAGGAGTGTGATAGTCTCCCTGTGCTGTGAAAAATCCCCTCTCCTGTGGCTGGATTCTTCACATAGAGATGAGGGCACACAGTGAAGGAGGAACCTGCAGGAGTTTCCTTTCCTCTTTTGTTCCCTCAGTCCATTCAAGCTATTTTGAGGAATATTTAAAGTCAGAGGGCTATATTCTTTCTTTTTCTCCCTTCAAAACCTGTGTAATTGTTACTGGGTTTAGTCAACATTAATCCTTTGCTATAGAGATGTTGAGTTACGCTTGGGGAGATTTTGAAAGGGCAGATAGCCCCCTTTCTGTAGCACCTTCAGCTCTGGTATCTCCAGAGAAAGTTCCTGCCAGAATCCTCCTTTAGATTTCTTTAGGAAGAATGAGGGGAAGCTGACTTCAGCTTTGCTCCTAGTTTCTAGGCATAATTTTAATTATAGCCATATACATTATATAAAGTATGGAACAAAGTTCTTCCAGCAGCTGACTGTTGGTTCGTATTGATTTGTTGCCAAAAATTTTATGTTGGAGTCAATCATACTGAAAATTTTAGATGCCTCTTTCCCACATCTTCTTCCTCCCCTCCCCCAGTTTTTTTAACCACTCTCCATTCTAATAATGCATCTTATACCAGCTAAAGAAACTTGATTTATTATGCACTGGAAGTCAAAGTGGCATGAGTCTGGTAGGGAGAATTTAATGGAGAAGACCAGAAATTACTGATGTTTGATCCTGCCATGTTGGTATTTAGGAAAAACTTTCAGAAACAACCTGTCAACAGGACTCTCTGCCTGTCACAACATCCAGTGTGTCCATAGATGACCTGTTCTGGCTTTCT